ACATTATTTTATTTGTTTACATAATATCCTAGGAAGTAGGTAGAATCCTTGACTCCTAGCTGGGGTAAATATCCCTTCTGTATGCTTTGATAGAACACATGTAATGAGGCCAAAATTTAAACAACATGACTCCAGCATACGAAAAATGTTAATTGCCCTGGTTTTTATAACTGATCTCATCTTGCTCTCATCATTCCTAATGGTGGAAGAAAACCTTTTACCTTGCCAAATAAAAGTGGGTTTTGGTGGCTTTCAGTTTTATATAGCCTGTTTGGGTAAGTGCTTAGTCTTTTGGGATTCTCTCTATGTTTTTCACGATTCCTGTCTTCTTTTCAAGATGGTGTCTGGCTATTGGCAGAGCTTACATGTCCACTTGGTCTTGTGACCTTCCATTGAGGTATCTCAGCCTTGGCCTCTGTCCTCAGTGTATCTGCTTCGCTGTGGCGTGGACTCCTAGCTACAGAGCTCTTGCGCTGCTGAGATGCAGCACCTCCTTCTTCAACCTTTGGGCATCATGCTGACTCCTGCTACTGATGACTGAGGACTTTGCTGTTGTATCTGGTCATAAGGGCTCAGTCCTTGGGTAGCCTTGTTCCAGCCCCAGGCTTAATTGGGGTCATTGATTCTCAGTCCTTCCACATCCCTACTCTCTGGGGAGACCGGGCAATTTTCTCCTGCATTCTCCACACTCAACATGATTGTGCAGGATACCGTGAAGCTGCCCTCAGGCCCACTGGCTTTTGCCCTTCCTCTGCATATACACCACATTGCATGCCTTGACAAATGTAAGCATATTCTAAGGTGTTTATAGTCTCTCTGACCATCGCTTTCAAACTCTTTTTGACCAGAAGCCACACTAAGAAATATATTTTATGTCTAGACATAGTGCACGTACAGTACATATGTCTGTAAAAGAAACAAAAATTTTTCCAAATTACATTTATTCTTATTACTTGTTGATGTACTTTGATATCTTCTAATCTAGTCTACTCTAAGTCATTATTTAAAAAATCTGTTGATTCGGTCCACTAGCCTGATTCCTTTATGTACCAGTGGGTCACTGTCCTGGGGTATTCCCCAAGAAGTAAAGCACTAGCTCCCAAATCCTTAGATTCTTCCCCAATCCATAGAGATTTTTCTAAGATTCCATCACCAGGTTCATCCCAGGGGGAGAGAATGAGATAAGGATGTTTGATCTTCTCTCCTATCTCTTAAGTCATGTCCTTTATTCTTTCCAGTCTAGGGTTTATTTTAAGGTCAGTCCTCTATACTTTGGTTTTATGCATATCAAAGATGTTGGCCTGTAATTTTCTCTTTCTGTGGTATCCTTGTCTGGTTTTGGTTTCAGGGCAATGCTGGTCTTGTAAAATATGTTTGGTAGCATTCCTTCCTCTTCATTTTTTTTGTAAGAGTTTGAGAAGGATAGGTATTAAATCTTCTTTGAATGTTTGGAAGAATTCACCAGTGAAGCCATCTGGTCCTAGACTTTGATTTGTTGGGAGGTTTTTGATTACTGATTGGATCTCCTTATAGTAATTGGTCTGTTCAGGTTTTCTGCTTCTTCATTATTGAATCTTGGAAGATTGTATGTTTCTAAGAATTTATCCATTTCTTCTAGGTTGTCCAATTTGTTCGCGTATACTTGTTTGTAGCATTCTCTTATGATACTTTGTATTTCTGTGGTATCAGTTGTAATGTCTCCTCTTCGCTTATGATTTTATTTTTTGAGCCTTCCTTTTTTCTTGGTTAGCCTAGCTAAAGGTTCATCTATTTTGTTTATCTTTTTAAAGAACTAGCTTTTATCATTGATCTTTGTAATTGCCTTTTTGGCCTCTGTTTCATTTATTTCTACTTGATCTTTATTATTTCCTTCCTTCCACTATCTTTGGGCTCCATTTGTTTATTTGAGATTTTTCTTGTTTCTCAAGGTAGGGCCGTGAAATACAATAGATTTTTGTATATAGATCTTGTATCCTGCAATGTTGCGAAACCAACATGTCAGTTCTAGTAGCTTTTCTGTAGACTCCATAGCATTAACCTAAACTATGTGGTGTTGGCTTAGCTGGCAGGCAGCAGACAACAAAGACACATATATCACAGGCTGAAAAGCTGGCGATCCTTTTTATGCCACCACAAAACATTTGATAAAATTGTCAACCTAATTCCTTAGAAGGTAGTCCACACATGCTCTTTGAATCTGTAGCTATAGGGAAATGATCAGAAAGATGATTGTCTGACCAATGAGAGAGTATTAGCTGTTTCCTGCCTCCTTTAGCAAAGTCCTTTGAGAAAGATGAACTCAGGTAAAAGCTAGCCATTTTGTTAACAGAGATGGAAGAAAAGAAAGCTCTGCTAAGATTGGAGTTCTCTGCCTGCAGTCTATAATACAAATTGACTGAGAGTGGTTATTTAGGGACTTCTAGTTTTGATAAAGCCAAAAGCTATTCTACTCTCAACAGCGGAAGATAAAACTGTGACCCAAAGCCCTTCTCAAGGGCTATTAGCAAAGTGTTTCTGCCAGATGACATGCAGTAAAAGATCATGTTAAGGGGATTGCCTTCCCAACCAAACCTGCTGTTTTTGCTGGTTGCATGGGCACTGCCATTAAGTTAATAGATACAAGATAGATGGGTCAAACATAAGAGCCTAGTAAATAAAAACAAAGAGTAGTTAGGCATAAGAAATATGATTAGTTGAGATCTCTTGCTGTGATTATTTGTACAAGGATTTGTAAAAGGAAATAATAGACCAGAAATCTTTTCAGTATCTTTTAAAACTGAATTAACAAGTAACAAGCCTAGCTTGCAAATGCCTTTGTCTATTTGATTCTGAAGCAACCCACAGTCCTTCAAAACTGCATCAGTAAGAAACTGGACACACAAAAACGTGCATTCTCCTAGGAGGGCATACTCTTCAGTACACCCTTCAGATGGAATCACAGAAAATCATAGATAAGAACCTCCCAGTGGGTAAAGCCAGTACCTATAGATGCAACAAACAAGATAGTTCCTTCTAGAGAGCAGAACTGGGGTCTAATTAGGAATTACTCCTCCACTTGGGCATTCTTTGAAGGTTCCCCTTTGCAACAGTTGGTTAGACTGAAGACTACGACTACTCTTTTTTTCTGTTCTTTTTCCAAATTGGTTTTCATACTCCTGCTTCACCACTGTACACCAGGTGCATGGGGAAGGGAAGGGCACGGGAGAGTGGAACAGATACCTCATCTTTTAATTCGTACGTCACTGGATCATGCAGTTATATCCAGACTTATACAGGACTGTATATCATCTCCAGATCATGCACTTTGAACTGCTCAGAACTTTGGCTTTTCATCCTTTGGAGTAGGGTGTGTTCTATGGCTCAGAAGGGATTAGGAGAGTCTGAGAAAAGGAAGTCCTAGTAGTAAAAATGGCATCGCTGAAAGCAGAAATATTTAATTCTCTCCTCAGAAAACAAACAAAACAACGTAACTTTTCTTACAATTATTCTAGCAAATGAAAAACTTGTTTTATGAAAAAGCTTTGAAATAAATTAAGGCATTTTTTGCTTTAAAAATGTTTTTTATAATAATAAAAGTAACAGCCATGGAACACTTGAGAACACTATAACAAGGCAGAACATTTTAAAACAGAAGTTTAAAGAAAGTAAAAATCAGTAAATCCCTAGCAAATGAAACCGAACAATGAAACTGAACAAACTGCATTGTTTAACATTTTTCTAGTCTTTCTTCAATGGGTAAGTGGAGATATATGCATTTTTATATATACTACACAGCATGTATGTACCTATGTTAGCTCTGTTGTGCTTTTTCATTTAACATTATACAAGTACTTCTTGACATGAAAAATTCTTCAGTTTAGTTGCCAAGTATTTCTAATATGTTTAATTTCATGCGGTAATTAAAAAAAAAAAATCCAGAGTATTTACTTTGACAGAAGAATGATCTTATTTTTTTTCAAATGCTTAGCAGTAACCACGCAGGCCTTCCTAAGCCTAGCAGGCACACCTTAGAGTGTTTCGGGAAAGACCTGCAGAATCTATTGCATATTATCTCATAATAAAAACAAAAAATCAAAAGTAAAAACTGAGGCAAACTGCCAAGAAGAAATGTAAATTACAAAGTAAACACTTAATTTAAGCTTAATGTTACATCTCTGGCCATATTCTACAATACTGTAGGACTAATCCTCCTGTCCTCCTTACGGGACAACAAAGAGGTAACTAAACCTACGGAGGAGGCTGGGTCAAAGCCCTCTCATTTCCGTGGGTGCTAAGCCGAAGTTCCTTCCCTCATCCGAGACTGTCTGCCCATTTTGGCAGAACATTTATGTAAAGCCAAAATTTCACATATGGAACTCCCAAGTCACCCATCTGGCTACACCCACCTTATTTTTTGGGTTGAAAATCTGTCACAGGAACAAATGTTATCTCTCATGATTTGAGAAACAAGAATGATCCAACAGCGCCATTATAGTCACCCAAACTGCTTTAGTGGTGCTATTAGTGCCCTGCTCCTACATTTTTTCCTCTGTAAAATGGGTCTATCAACATGTTATTTATACATGTGTATGTGTACATATATTTGACATTACATTGAATTGTGTTCCCCATTCTGCGCTTTTTGAAAATTGTGCTTAGTTTTCATTTTGGACACAGTAATAATCTTAATAATTTATCATTACAATGGCTGCAAATGGAAGTAGACATATTCTAGTTATCTGTAAGGTAGGTCCTTTTCTCTCTTATTGGGCATCCGGAACAACTGCTAAGGAGGTTGTGAAATGGGAATGAATTTCAAAATCAAAGGCTAGGCCTTTTTGTTTTTGGCCTCTGACGCTTCACGTACTTCGTACCGCCATTAATACACTAGTTCTCAGCCTGGGAACTTTGTACTGGAGCCGAGCCAGAAAAAAATCTTCGGTGTCTCGCAGGAACAGAAACTCCCTCATGGAAAGAACACGCCCTGTTACAGCCCATGTGGCGTGATCCTTAGGTAACCTCGATTCCGGGGCTGCAGCAGCTCAGTGCACACGGGTCTTGTCGCCCGGCGCCAACAGTCCAGTCAGTGCTCGCCGGTCCCGCAGCTGCGGCTCGGCTCTCGACCGCGCCGTCCCGCCGGCGGCCCCTCGGTCAGCGGCCTGCCTATGCTTTCGGTCACCAGGAGGGCTCGCCAGCTCTTCCACAGCCTTTTCCCCATCCCGAGAATGGGCGACTCGCATTCTAAAATCGTCAGTCCCCAGGAGGCCTTGCCGGGCCGGAAGGAGCCAATCCCCGTGGCGGGTAAGGACGCGGCTCGCACAGAGGGCGCGAGCGTCGCTGCTGCGCACGCGTGTCGGCGCCGGGCGGCTGCGCGTCCTCCGCCCGCGGGGAGAGACCCGGGACCGGCCTCGCGGGCCCTGGAACCGCGGCTGGGAGGAGGCCAGGCGTCTTCCCCGTTTAGCTTCTCCCCGCCAAAACACAGAACGCTTTGACGGAATCTAGTAAGCTAGTAGAACACACTTAAAGTGCAAATATCCCAGCGTCTCCAAACTTTGGGCAAGAAAAGCGCGGACGCGATATCCACCCTTAACGGGTCTGCGGTCCCGCAGTAATGGGTTCTCTGCCTCCTTTCCTTTCTTTCTCTTTTGCCTCGGCCGCTGGGATGCGAGCCACATGCAGCAATGGTGCGCCGTGTTGTGGTGTTGCTGGAAGCAATGGAATGATACAGAACGATGAGACCTGCAATTTTGAAATGGTATTTCATTCCAGTGTTCGGGTTGCAGGCTTCTGTTATCTTCCAGGACTGTCCAGTTTCCCTCACTTGGCAGGAGCTGCTTTTGGTCCTGTACTCCCTGGTCAGCGGTGTGTATCAGTTGTGCGGGGGTGTCTATTTTAGAGCTGGGCTTCTCAAACTTAAAAATAATTTTCCAATCTCATGCTAATACTTTTGGAAAATATAGTAAAAGTGAAATGCTAGAAAGTTATCACGTGCTCGGATGCCCAGTAATGTTAAACTACTCTAAAAGTTTTCAAAAGCTTAATTCTCAATTTTTGTTGTAGACACGTAGCAGTTTGCAGACAGCACAGGTCTACCAACCCCAAGACCATACTTTAAGTGAGATTGCCTTAATTCAGTATTTCTCAGAGTGTGGCCCCATCAATATTTGTTTTAAAACAAACCTTCCAGTGCTCGCTTCAGCAGCACATATTCTAAAATTGGTACGATACAGGGAAGGTTAGCATGGCCTCTGCACAAGGATGACACGCAAATTTGTGACGTATTCCATATTAAAACAAAACAAAACAAAACAACTCTCCAGGTGATTTTTTAATGCACTCCATTGTTTGTAAACTACTGCCTTAGAGCCGTTGGAGGATTAAGTGGTGATTAATCTTTTATGTATAGCTCAATGCCAAGATCTTGCATTGAAATTTCCTAGGAATAATTTTCCTTAAGGAATTGTTGAATATTTATAGGAAGAAATCATAGTGAGGGTGTATATATCACATGCAATACTCAGTCTGATATTGGAAAAGGTAGAGGTTTTTTGGATTTGAGGCAGTTTGGACGTTGTGACTTGTTTTTTGTTCACCTGCAGTAGCAGTTCTATTACTTGTGACTGCTGTCACTTCACCTCCAATTGTGAGCCCTAAAAGTTGATTTTTAACTCAAATTCAGAAAATGAGTTTTGAAAAAAATCCAGATTATCTCTAAACCATATTTAATCCAATTATCTAAACTTCATTTATCTTAAAATAAGTAATCTCTTAACAAACCAAGATTCATAAACGGATATATAAAGACAATGCTTTCTCAATGTTGAACTTCTCCAGCTGGTACTGAACTTCCCCTTTACACACTGCAATGTCTTTGATATGCCCTTCTAGAAAGAGGGACAACCCAAAAACTCTTGATCAGATTTCCAAACTGGTTTAGGATTAAGACTAAACAAAATTTAGTTCTGTTTTATCTTAACCAAAGTCTTCTCAATTTCCCAGTATATACATGACACTTTTGATAAAAGATTATCCAACATGCTAAGGATTTCTTTATCATATCCACATAATAACTCTGCAAATATCAGGACGTGGTTCTCTTCCAGGTTCATCTGTTTTTTTCATATAGCTGTGTGTACGTCTCTCTGTATCTGTAACCGTAAACTGCTTTTTTGGTGTAGGACCAAACCTATAATACGTATGTCTTTATTATTCAGTTGCTATAAACTGCCCCCCCACCCCCCGCCACCCCACCAATATTTAAATTTTAGATTATGATTTCTCCAGTCTCCACTCTTGGTACTACTCTTGCCTTGACAGGTTGCTGAATGTTCTGATTGGCCCCAGAAATGGGCACTGTTACTCTTCGGTGGATTTTGGTGGTTGCAAGCTTGAAGCTTACTGTTTTGAAAGATACTAATCTTGACTCCAGCCTCCAATCTGTTTAATAGCTCTTCAGTTCTCTATATTACCTCTATCTATGTCTGTTGTGATTTGCACTCTGACTCTCTAAAGTTCTGTGACAAAAGCATCCCCTTTTGATTTTAGAAGACAAGGTCCATCTGTTTATTGTCTTTGGCTCAGCCTACTAGGTGGTGTGTACTATTACCAAATACTTTTGGTGTTAACAGTTATCATCTATACTTTAACCCTACCTTTTTTTGTATATTTAGGGAAACATTTCCTTTTATAAACTGGCCTAATAGTAGATTTCTACTTTGCAAGAAGGTAAAATTCAGTCTTTAAAACTTCTTTAACGTTTACTTCTTCCCAGGCTACCTAAAATGAATAGGCCTACTTTGAGTGATTGGTTAAAACTAAACCTGGACTAGACTGCCTCATTTGAAGCACACTGTTCAGGTTAGCAGTGGGTTCTGGACAGCGCTGGTTGGCTGGCTGGCAGGGCACACAGCACTTTGCCAATCTTATACGTAGAGTCGTTTTGCTCTGTTTCAGTGCCTGGCTGTAAAGCAATACTCAGAACTTTGGAATTGGGGGAAAAGGGGAATTCATGCTTGTTCAACTGAATTGGTGGGCAATTAATTGTTAGACATAGGGAGGAGGTAGAGGTTTATAATGAAAACCTCAGTGTCTCCTATGTTGTTCAAATGTAAGTTTATTATAGTTAAAACCGATCTTATTTCCAATGAGTTAATTATAGTAAAAGTCCAGCTTTTATTTTATATGGCACTGTTTTTTTTTTTTTCATATTGGAAACATTGCTAATCTGTTTTTTTGCTCATGTATCGGGATTTGGATATAGTCAAGGTAACATTGACAGCTCCTATTTAATCTCTGCTTTCTTGCCTTTATATTCTTAGATAGTGCTCCCACATTTATTACTGTGATGCCTTTTAGGGGAAAGGAAGAGTTGTAGCACACCTGCTAAAGGTATACTCTTTTAAGAAGTTTAAATATAAATAAAACAGTAGAGCAATATAAGTAATCCAAAAGTTGGCTTTTTGAAAAATAATAGAACTACAACAGTCAAATTTATAAACTATTAGTTTAATAAAGGAAAAAAAGAAGGATATACAAATACACGAGATAAGAACTGAGAAGAGGGGATACTGAAAGTAGAAAATTCAAAGAATCATAGGGATGATTTACTTGGCTCTGAAAATAAGTTTGAAAACTGTGATGACATAGGTAATTTTTAGGAACATGTAATTGACCCCAAACAGCCCAGAAAGAAGTAGAAAGTCTAAACAGGGTGATTTTCCTAGAACAAATAAAGTTGTAAAAGAGTTGCCTCCTTCCAAAGCATTATGTCCAGACAGTTTTACAGGGGACTTCTACTAAATATTTAAAAAGCAGATAATTCTAGTACTTTTTAAACTTAAGGAGTTGTCAGATTGTTTTTAAGAAGCAAGTATAACATTGAAACCAAAATTGATAAAGATTGCACAAAAAGAAAATCTTATATATTAATATTGTTGCAAAACTGCAAAATAAATATGAATAAACAGAATCCAGTAATGAGATTTAATCCCAGAATGCAAGGAAAGATCAATATTAGGAAATCTATTAATATAATTCATCATTTAACTGAAGTAAGGAAAATGGTATAATTGTCTCTCCAGATGCTAAAAAGTCGTTTGACCAAATTTCACAACTATTCTTGATAGTAACACTCGGAGATGGCTACTTCCTTAACATGATAAAATATATCTATTTTATTTTAGGCAATCATGGTGCTTAATGAAGAAGCATTAGAGATTCCCACTAAAGTCCTAATCAAGGAAGAATGTGGAGGTGGGCCACTCTTGGTCAGCCTGGTAGCAGGTGTGTACTAGTACTAAATATTTTTATTGTTAGGGGTAAGCTCTAAGCTTTAATCTTACCTTTTTTGTGTTCTTAAGAAAATTTTCATTCTTTTAAAAACTGCGGCCTAGTAGATTTCTACTTTGCAAGAAGGTAAGATTCAAACCTTCAAACTTTTTTAATGTATAATTTTTCCAAGGATGCCTAAAGTGTATCAAGGCATGACCAGGCCTACTTTGGGTGATTGGTTATTATTTAACATGTTTTGTAGGTGTTTGCCAATGCAGTTAGACAAGAGAAAGCAACTGGAGAAGGTAAAAAAAACTAACCTCACTTACAGATGATAAGATTACAAATCTGGAAAATCCAAGAGAATTTAGTAAAGTATTAGGGTGTATCCTTGCTTTACTCTATATAAACCATGTGTTAGAAAATATAATGGAAGAAGACACATATATAATAGCAACCAAAAAAGTTAAAATTTGGGAATAAAATTAGCAAGAAATATACAAGACCTATGTGAAGAAAACTTTAAAACACCACTGAAGATGCAATAGAAGACTCAGACAAGGGGCGGGACATACCAGGTTCTCGGATAGACGACTGAACGGGGAACATATATATCAATTCTCCCTGTTTATAAAGGTAATGTAGCTTCAGTAAACTGATATTTTTGTTTTGTTCTATCACTAGATACACTAATTAAAAATTTTGTTTTGTTCTATCACTAGATACACTAATTAAAAATTTTGTGTAGAAAAATAAACAGTAATAGTTATGGTAACTGTAAAAGAAGAGCAAAGAGGGACAGCTATCCCTACCATACAGTAAAAGTAAAGTTTACGATTTAAGCAGTGTGGTACTAGTCCATAAATACATAGGTCAATGGAGTAGAATAGAAAGATCAGACATTCTTGAATGCATATGGGAATGTATCATATGATAAAGGTGATATCTCAAATCAGTGGGAAAAAGATGGAATATTCAATAAATGATTATGGGACAACTTGGTAGCCATATAGAAAAAAAGTTGAATTTGTACTTTCCATCTTAAACCAGGATAAGTTCCAAAAGCTCATGCATATTAAGTGCTTACTGTATGCCAGGCACTTAGTAATTACTTGATATTTACTAATACATTTAATCTTCATGATAACCTGACGAAGTAGTAACTACTATTATTCCCCATTCGTAGCTGTAGGAACTGAGGCCCATAGAGGCTAGGCAACTTATCCAAGGTCCCATAGCTAATAAGTGGTGGATCTGGAATATAAATGTAGGCAGTTTGATTCTAGAGTTTGTGATGTTAACTGTTATACTGTTTTTCCATTTAGTTAAATGTAAAGAATCAAATAATTTAAGTGTGAGAAAGGGAGAATTCCTTTATAATCTTGATGTGAGGAACACCTTTCTAACCATGACTTGAAAATCAGAAGACTTAAAAGATTGATAAGTTAGATCACATCAAAAGAAGAATCTTCTGAAGGCAGAATTACCATAAAGAAATTCAAAAGACAAATGAGGGTGTATATTTGCAACTCATATCATAGGTGAAGAACTAGTATCCCTAATATATAAGAAGCTCCTAGAAATTAATAAGAAAACACTAACATCTATTGGAAAAATAGGCAAAGGTTATGAACAGTTTCCAGAAAAGGAAGTACAGTTGGCTCTTAAACACATAAAAAGATGCTCAACTACACTCATAATGAGGAGAATACAAATACCATTTTTCATTTTTCAGACTGGCAAAAATCCAGAACTTTGATGATACACTTGGTTGCCTTAAGGAAAAAGGCACTCTCGTACATTGCTGGCGAGAGTGTAAATTGGCTCAACTCTTAGGGAAGGCAATTTGGCAATATCTATCAAAAATTTAATTGCGTATACCTTTTGACCCAGGAATACAATTTCTGGGAATTTATCCTACAGATACACTTGCACACATGCCAAATGATGACTGTACCAGGTTATTCACTGCAGCTTTGTTTGCAGTAGCCGAAGGTTGGAAACAACCCAAATGCCCATCAAT